TTGTTAAGTCAAGTGGATGCTTCTGGCTGTATGTTTGTTTATTCAATGGTATATTTCTCTCCCCAGATACATATATATATATATGTATATATATATATATATGTATATATATATATGTATATATATATGTATATATATATGTATATATATATATATATGTATATATATGTATATATATATGTATATATATATGTATATATATATATATATATTCTGGCTGATAAAAACTCAACAAAATCCCACTGGATCATATCTTCCATCACCAGACCGACTGGAGCCTCCAACGCGTTGAAAGCCATACTTTGAAGCACCAGCGCAGCCACCTGTGAGGCCATAGCCGTCATTAATTATCTGGTAGCCACCTGACCCCTCCTCAGCGATTCCCCTGTAGGTTTGCAGAACAAGTTGCACCAGGATGATAGCCTGCTGAACAAGAAGAACATCCAAAACCTTTGCTAAGACCATCATTATTCTCGGCAAAGATATCACGTCAATATCTCGATGTTGGATATGTGAACGATATTGTTGGGTATGAAATAATATACCTGGTTGGTGGTTTCAACCCCCTGAAAAATATGAAAGTCAGATTGGATCATCATCCCAACTATTGGGGAAAATAAAAAAATGTTCCAAACCACCAACCAATATAACCATTTCATCATGAATATTTCATGGGCATTACGACGAGTCGCCTGCAGCTGCCGTTGGACTGCCAGGGCTTTCAGCAGCGCGGTGCTCAGCTTAGGCTGCTGCGACCATTGCTGTAGAGAGCAACCCAGCGCAGCATTCACCTGCCCAGCAAAAAGGCTGTGAAGGGAAAGTTGTAGGATGGTTCTATGGATTTATAGTGGATTCATATTGGAATTGTGATTTGGATTTATATCGAGTTACATGGATTTTCATGGATTGATATTGGATGTATATTTGGCTTTATATGGATTTCTAGTGGATACAATATGTTCTTGTCATTGTGGATGATGGTGACTTGCCCATGGCCGTTACATGCCATTCCTATGATCATCCTCGGCCACTCGGCCCCAGCTGACCTCTGCAAAAGAGACTTCGTCCTAAGTCTGGCAACGTTTAGAGTTTAGACCCAGGGACGATGCAGATTTCTTGGGATCTTTGAAGAGTGAACAGTCCATTTTGCTGGATTCTAAACATTATATTCTAATGTCTTCTGCTGTATGGTGTGTGGAAATCCTCATTTCCGAGACTCAAAGTGATTATGTTGATGCTGGTCTGTCATCATGTCAACACATCTGAAGAGCACGATGAAGGAGGTAGGCCATTTCATAGTCACAAGGTTCGTAGCTGTTGAGCTTCAACCAAGATCAACCAAGTATATTTCAATGTAGTTCAATATAGTTAAATACCAGTCCATTTGGCCTTTCCCATCCAAACCATGCTGTCCCAGTATCCAATGCCAGCAGTCGTGGAAGCTCAGGAATCATCACAGCCACCGCGTTGCCATTTTTTTGAGCTACATCACTGTGCTGGGGCAGGGGTCTACTGGGTTGGTTGACTCTTGAACCAAAACAGAGGGTAAACATGGAAAAAGAACGTGGAAAACCATGGTTTCCCGTTCTATTACATATCTCTATATATAATTATATATATATATACAATAGGAAATAGTAGCTTCTCCACATCTGCGTGGCGGTTGTGAGGTCCTGGAGATGATGAAAATCATCTGTAAAATGGCAGATTGATTTTCCAGGCATGCTTGATTACTAAACATTTACTCTTGAGATTCTCAGAGACGTCACTATCAACACTTTCACTCCCTTGCCAAGACCTCCAAGGTATTCCAAGGTCCTCCCCTGGTGCATTGGGTCAAGCCGTTAAGATCGCGAACAAGTATCTGAAGAGGACCAGTAGGCCGAAACTTGAGTAAATCCGCCCAAGGAGAGTATAGGACAAGATGAAACACCACCAGGAAATCCAGTCCCAATCCCATGGCGTACGGATCGGTCTGGAAGACACCGGTCTCCTCCCCGGTTTCTCGGTTGATGATGCGGATGGTGGTTCCACCTCAGATCAAAACGTGTTGTTCTGAAGCAATCGTGGGGTGATGATGTTAGCAAACAATGGGGATGAACCGTGATCACATGATATCATATATTTCTAGTGATGTCCATCCCATCCTCATGCATCCCCATATTTGTTGGATATTTCTAATATTTCTGAGAGGATGAACCATGAACATCACTAGCAGCTCATTTTCTGGCGTGAAACCCCAGAGTCCGCCCGATGGCTGGTCATGGAAGAGGTTGCATTCCTCACATGGAGCTTTCCTAAAATGGGGGTACCCCCAAATCATCCATGCTAATAGGATTTTCCATTATAAACCATCTATTTTTGGGTACCACCATTTATGGAAACCCTCATGTCTCCCCCAGACTTCGTGGTGTGACATTCAGCTATGCCACAAAAATGCATACATCCACCGCTGGACCAGCGCTGTCGGGGGCGATATTTCTGAAGTCGAAAAGTGCATGACTGTTGTTAGATTTGTTAACCATTTATATGTGTCACCCGACTACCAAGCCTTGCTTTATCCAAGCAACGTTCCGGTTCCCAGGTGTTGTAGTCATTCAAGTTGCCCTCGTAGACACCTTGCTTTAGACCCGGTGTGGAACCATCTCTGGTCAATCGCACCAGGCAGCAGTTGATCTTCGGGTGACTAGTCTCTGGTCAACATATGATAAGCCCACTGTTAGGATCCATTTGTAGATGCTGTTGTATGCTCTTGTTCCATCCATTGCAGAGGGCACCAGGAATCAGCTGTACACTGTCCAGCTGTTTGCTCAACATTCCGGTCAGGAAAAAAGGGTGGTCAGGGTCAGTGTACCTCTTTTTTTGATGGAGCAATTTCTTACCAGAGAAGGATTTGCAGTTCAAACAAGTTCTTGGTTTGAACTCTTGGTTTACCTAACAATTGGCTACTCAGTTAGAACATGATCAAACCATAAGGAACATGATATCCGACATAAAGATGTAGAGTCCCGTTGTGGAGCGCCGCATGGATCATTTAAAACGATATTCTTTAAACCAATCCAGTGAGGGTTTGAACTTTGGGTGTGTCTGAAAATGAGCATTACCATAAATGGTCATGTTTAAATGGAAAATTATGATAATCCATTGGGTTTTTGGGTACCCAATTTTTAGAGAAACCCTTTTTGAGATCCTATGTCAGGTACTGACATCCCATGCCAAGGCGTTGACCGTTCATCAGCCACTTCGCTTCGGCGTTCAGCATGCCATCCTGGGAGATTTTCTCTATAGACTTAGCCCCTGGGCCTTTTGATGAAGTTGTTGGTCCTTTGGCTTAAACATCTTAAACCATGGAATTATTCCCCCCAAGTCTCAGAAATTCCTCTGGCAAGGGGTCAACCCCTCTTACACTGGGGTAGACATCCGCATCCATCAGCCCCAGCTGTTTTGCTGTTCACCAGGCTTGACCACCACAGAAAATCCTCCGAAACTGAGATCTGAACCCAGTTCAATGGGTATGGGATCTGAATCATCACGATGTACTTCTCCGTCAGGCCGATGGTGTGCACCGGCGAAGGGTACCTGCAAAATAGACATCACGTGTACCCACCTTTTGGGCGAAGCTCGACCCTTAACATATCGAAGATGCTGGGGTAATGTCATAGCTATCCACGAAATGCATCTCCTACGCTATGGCAAAAACAGCAACCCATCACAACCTACCTTTCACCTGCCGGCTCATCCACAGTTCATTGTTGGCCGAGCTCACTCAGTGGAGATGCGTCGAATAAGGCGTCGCTTCACAGGAGCACCCAGCTCCTTCCTGAGGGGAAATCTGTAGTCACATTGAGATCCTCATGGATTTATCCACTAAAAATTGGCTAGTTGGTGGTCTCAACCCACCACAAAAAATAGGTCACTTGGGGTCATCATCCCAGATAAGGTTGAGCATATTTCCAATATTAAAAGATATGTCATTTCTACTGTATCCACCAACCTGTAGGGATAGGAATGTTATAATGTTGAGATGGAAAAGTCAGTCTCCTTCCTCCACTCCCCCATCCCCAGATGAGGCCCTAACGAGCAGTCAGGCTCCACAGAGAAGACGACATACCTGCGAGACAGCGCGGCATGGCGAAATCCACAAAGAAATGGGTTGTTGAAGCCATGGCGAAATCCACAAAAATGGGGAACAATCATTTTTTTCCAATGTAGGAAAACCCTCTCCAAATGGGGAACAATCATGACCAACAAATGGGGTGCTAAAGAGCACAGCAGTCTGGCACTCTGGCATTCCAAGCCCAAGCCATGGCGCACTCAGGCTTCAGTCCCATATCCTGCGCTCCCGAAAGAAGCAGCTGGATAAAGTATGGAATGTGATGATGCTGGATGTGCTTCAGATGCCAGCGAAATCATACCCGGTTTCTCGTGGGGAACGCCAAAAAACACTGCCTCGGAAATCAAACTGTTCCAACATGCCTGTCCTCTGGGCTAATGCGAAGCTGGATGGCGCAAGTGACCCATTCTCCTGCGACAAGCCAAACCTGTCCACACTGTGGACATACAAATAGGATGCATAGAACGTGTTGCCAGTCATGGTCATAACATGAAACAATATGAAATAATTAATAGAAATGATACTAAATTTTGAATGGACACATACATAAAAAGATAATGCAGATACATGATGTTAAATGTAAACAACAGCAGTACTCCTATATCATGTTAACAGATGAATGCATATCATCAATCGTATCTGAAAAATAATAGTAGTGAACCATAACACTACTGAAAAAAATAGAATAATACATGACACTTGCAATTTTAGCAATAAAGATACTGATAATGATAATGGTAAGAATGCACACTGTCCAAATAGTATACACATCGTAGCAACAGTAATGTTAATACCTCATGATACGTAGTGATAAATGATATTGACTAATTTCGCATCTTCCCAAACAAGACCAATACATCTTCTCAAATAGGAGCTAAAAACTGCATGGCAAATGGTCACCCTGAATCCCTCCATCCAGGAAATACCTTGGCTGAGCTTCAAAGATCTGACATGATCTGATCAATTTCCATCAGTTTCCAACATTTCTTTAAGTAATGATTCTTCCATATGTTTTTTTTCTTGCCTATATCCTATGTTGAACAGAAAGCACCCCTGAATCCGAAAGACACAGGGACCCACTGGGCAGCTCGCACCTGTGGTTTTGTCCACGTGTGGCCTGAACACAACTCTGATCGATATGGCTTGGTCAGAGGAAGTACTCCCAAACCCAGCACGTGATCATGATTTTCTGTATGACCTCTGCAGTTAGATCATCACTTTTCCCATAAATTTGATGACGGTGTGACTTGATAACCCATAAAGATCCCATTAAAATAAGATGGAACAAATTGGAACAACATCCCTGTGGTACCTGGAATAAAATCTCCCATAACATCCCGGATCGTCCCGGAAGCTTCCAGGTTTTATCAGGGCCCCCGAGCTCAGCATGGAAGATCAAGGGTCCACCCTCCACTAACTCGTCATCGAATGGAACCTGACGCGGCGGATTCACTGGAATGGTTTAAACATTGCATAACGAAAACCATGGGTTTAGTGGGAACATGTGCATTGTATACATAAAACTATCATGAAACCTTGGTTTTTTCCCCCCATAAAACATCAGCGGCCCCAGGGTTTGCCTGTAGATTTTCCCATAAACTTCAATTCTGGAATGGATATGGATGGATTCGATACCGAGTCCGGATAGGAAGGCGAGCTGTTTGGTAAATAATGAGACAAGTTGGAACAGGAATGCAACAACTCTGACCAAACCAGCTTTGGAGCTTAGCAGAGGTGATTCTGCGCAAAGTACTGTGCAAGGGCAACATGCTGCCATTGAGGGAAAAGAAAGGAATAATTAACTTGAATTGATGTTTATGAGATCTTGAGACCACTTGCACTTAACCTTTGGTGACCGTGATCAAACATGGCAATGAGAAATCCAAACGCTTGATGTGGACATCAATTCAAAGATATGTATAATATATATATAATATATAATATAAAATATAAGATATATAATAATATATATATCATTATATATCTACCAGATGTCTACCATAAACCATAGAGTTATCCTCACCTTCCCAAAGGTGTCCATGGTCTCCAAGTCAAACTCCAGGCAGGCCCTGGGCTGCGCATCGATTTTTGGAAGGGGAGGGGACTTAACATGGTTTAACCAACCATTTTTGGGAGGGTGGTTTTAATGTGTTTTAATACGTTTTGATATGGTTTAATGTGGTTCAATATGATAGAATCATCAAAGATGAGGATGTTTCACCTGGATGTTTCACTTGGAAACAAAGCATTTGATATGATTTGATAATCTTTGGATTTTTGTTTTGATCCAACTTCTGAGGCTGTGACTCATGGGAACTGGCGGATATTTTTTTTTGCGGTAGTTGTTGCACAGCATGGTGGAACTGGTTGGAGGTTTCAGTGGATCACAAACACATACCACCAAGATTTCATTTGGTTCATCATCTAGGTAGATCTTTGAAATAGAAACAACAACACGTAACTTGGAAACCGCCAAACGCAAATTATGAAGCTAAAGTCACAGATAGAAACTAAGTAAACTTGGATCCATTGGAATCCATCTACTCCAAGATTGACCAAGATTTTCCCATTCAAAACCTCGAAATTCTTGGGGAAATGATCCCTCTCCAGTTCCCCAAATGAAACGTTTGAAACGCGCCCCGGGCCCCCCAGATCACCCCAGATTTCCCCGTAGGTCGCCCCCGCGAGCCCACGGACATGGAGATGCATCGAGAGCCAGCGATCTGGCGTTCGACAAACCACTACTGCTTGGTGGTGCAATAACCATATATTTCATGGACAATATATAATTGGGATACATCTTTTCCATTTCATATATGGGATATATTGGGATCTTGAAAAATATTCCATATATTATCCCATATGTTATCCCATATATGAAATGGAAAAGATGGTTAAACCACCACTACTAATGGGAAGCATTATCCCATATATGAAATGGAAAATAAAAGCCATGTTCCAAACCCAAACCACCAACCAGAGTAACAATGATTCTTATAAAATGCTATTTTTATATCCCACAAAACCAAAGAAACGATATGGATAGATGAATTACTGAACAAGTGGCTTGTCCCTCAACCTATGGGGTGATGTCAATTGTGATGTGAATTTTATGATTATATTATACATGTCTGTATCAACATAGAGGGAATTGACCAGCAAACTATGGCATCAGCCGGATCATCCACTAGTAGCTGGTGGCTGGGTGACTCAAGACCAAGCAGAAATGAAGATGATATCAGATATCAGAGTGGGAACTGATTTGTTTCACCAACAAAAATGGTGTTGCAATATGATGGCCTGATGACCTGGAGCTTTCATTGCTTCGTGGCTTCGCCTAGCTTTTGAAGCATCAAACCCCAAAGCTTTCCGCGGCCTGAGAGATGTGCAAGTTGCCGTTCTCATTGTTAGGTGGTGAGAAGAGGTACATAAAGCGTTCGAAAAAGTTCGGCAAGGATGGCCTGACACGCGTGATGATAGGGGATTGTCATCCATCCATATTAATCCATATTTTGTGGTTTGAAGGGTTATATGGAGGTTTCCTGAAATAGTGGTACCCCCAAATCATCCATTTGAATAGGATTTTCCCTTATAAATCATCCAACTATTGGGGTACCCGCAATTTAGGAAACCACCATGTGGAAAAGGGTCACTTCACGCTGACACCCGAGCTCCCCACATCATCCAGCCCCATGCAGAGGGTAACAAGAGATGGCATGACCCATGCCGAGAGGAAGCAACTATAAGGCTATCAAGGCTGACCGCTTTTGGGGCTGTATGTTGGCAACCTAAAGGTCTTGTCGGGCTTGAGTCTTTAGAATGGATTTACAAACCCCTATTTTTCCAATGATTCATGTGGGTACACAACTCCCATTCTTCACAGTGGCATCTGTGATGCCGAGCAACATACAATACAACATGACAAATGGCAAATGTGAACTCAGGATTAACAACCTCTGCCCGGCGGAGCATCGATTTGGTAGGTCACCAGTTGTGTTATGTTGTCATGTGGTATACCCAAGGCTGGGATTTCTACCATCCCCAGTCATGATAGGTTTATGGCACTGGGTTGCCCACATTCATAGCAATGGCAATCCATCAGTTTCCATGATATTACAACAAGGGATGCTGTGGATATATTAATGTTCTTACCTTATTGATAATATGTTCTAATATCCATAATGAACATCTTATCCCTTTGTTTGGGGTGCTTCCCTGCTTGAACACCTCAGGATGTTTATGAACATCCGGCTTTCGCTCTCCGGTCGACCCGGTCGCCTGGAACAGGTCTCCCGCACCGCGATGCGTCCGGCCTCCGGCAAGAGAAAAACAGGTTGCTATGGAAAATCCCAATGTCTTGCGAGGTAAATCATCTATTTAATCTATTTCTATGGGCCATGGGTTTCCAACGGTTTCCATATAGCGATGTTACCTTTCAACTCTTGGTTTAGACCACCGGAGCCCATCCCCCACTGATTGGGCGAGTTGGTACCCCCAATGACTGGACCCATAGCCAGTCATAAGCATGTCGTCTTGATCCATGGAAAAGAACTTAACTTAAGTATACAACTTTATACAACCAAACTTTATATAATCTCTCTATATATATAGAGTCCTTAGGTGATCATGATGTTTAATATATAAATATTCATCAGCTAAGTATCAGCAATATCATCCAGACCCAGAAACTTCGCCATCCCCACCTCCTTGTGCATGCGGTGGTTCCAGGTGTCCAGCCACCTGGCCATCCAAGCTGATTCGTATGATCTATGGCTGAAAAAAACATAACCCATACACATTCATAGGGTTGATTAGTGATGAACATCATGATAAAGTTGAACAATTCATATGGATTATGTTCTTTAAAAACACATTCATAATCCATAAAGATGGTTATGAGTTGTGGTTGTGAATGTGTGTTTGCAATGTGACGAACATGGTTGGTTAATTAAGATCGTTCATGATTCGCGATGAGGTGTATCTATGGCGAATGTAATCATTTATGGTTTCTTAATAACTGGTGATTTGTCTTCACTATATGTACATATGTTTGTTAGCCGGGTATTGCATACTCGCCATTGATTGGAAAAGTTAGAACATATCAGACTCGTTAACTGCCCAGCAAAGTTGACCAAAGATCGGTGTCATCAGCCCTTAGGGACGAAAATTACATCCCATCAGATCTAACGGTTGAGATCACCGTGGAAGCCCTCATTTTTGGACTCAAAAATACATAGTTCATCCCTACTACCATGGGACTTGCGACCTGAAAAAGGGAAAACACACGATTCCCCATAACCATGTTTGATGGAAATCTCAGATCATCTCCCTCAATTTTTCATGGTTAAATCACCATGTTGGATCATTTTTCATGGTTGAATCATGTTAAATCACCATTTTGGATCCCCTGAGAACCCCTAAGATCCCAAAAAAAGTCCTTGCCTGTTTTGGTACTGGCATTCCTCCTCTCCGATCTTCAGCCGGTAGAGCATCGCCTGAAGATGCTTGTGTGATGCCGCGAATAGCAAAGAACGCATCGGAGATGCTGAGGTCCAGCCGGAATTCAGATATATATATATATTATATATATATGTAGTAAATATTTTTTTTTCTTGGGTGGTTTCAATTATGGGTCTATCCATAGCCAATAATAACTTAGGTCAACCGGAAATCATCATCGCATGGAAAGGAGAACCACACAGTTGAAACTGCCAAAGAAATTGCATGATGATTCTATAACGCGCGATGCAGCTCGTTCTCAATGTCAGATGATCCTTATGTAGCTTGAAAAGTAATGTGTTTTGACAAGATCACAGCGTACCATCTACAGTACATCAAACTACACTATTCAAGCCAGGCAATAAAAAATACGGGAGTTCCCGTAGCAAACATCCATAGCAATGCCATGACATGCTTGGATTGGGAAGAACTTCACGCATACATTGGATGAAATGAGATCCTCGCAAAAAACACACACACACTGTTGACACCTATCGCGTTTCGTGCGCTGGTATCTGTTCTGCTTGTCGACTGGTTGATAACTTTCCTTCTGTCCACAGTTGAGATATGTTGAATCTGGATGAGTCTGGTGTACAGTAAATAAAATCACTCACCTATTGTGTATAAGTTTGATGAACAAAAAAAGTATTGATATTGCTATTGCCCTTCCCATCCCGCTTCCTAACATCACAACTCTGGCGACTAGAAGATGGACGGCCTGTCCATCGACCCAATCCACAAACTCATCATCTCCGAATTCGAATTTGGCAGGTCCGGCATGAACCTCGGTGCCATGGGAATGATGGCATGCCACAAAAAAACGGCTGACTTGGGGTGGGAGACGCAAATCGATGGCTCTTCTTGAGTCTAAGCGTCAATCATCTATCTATATAATCTGTGGTTTTTCTGTGTATCCAGAATCCAAACTTTGGCACATATCTTGCTCATGCATTTTGCCGCCGTTCACAGACAAATCTCCAAGAGTTACGGCTCTTGCTCATACTTACATCTTAGATCATCTTGCCGCGGTTCACAAACAAGCCTCCAAAAAAAAAGTGCAACGGAAACATTGCGATTGCAGTATGAAAAGGCCACCAGAAATTGGACCCCCAAATGCCTCCTATACCAAAATAAGATCCGCAAAAAAGGTCACATCCAAGTATTCCTGACTTCAGCCTGGCTGTATCACCTGACCATTTTCGCGGTTGAGGTTTGTTGGAGGATAAAAAAAGCCAGTGGATTCTAGAAGGAAACTATCTGCATTACTAACTATTTGCGGTCCCAAAAATCCCAAAACCAATCCAACTAATCCAACTCATTCCATGTTTGATTGAATTCAGATGGCAATAAAACATCTCAAACCCGGAAGCGCACGGCTGCAAGATGTGAGTCATTTTCCAGCGGATGCAGCGCAATTTCGCCAGCATCCCCGCAGTTCGCAACGGCGAAAAAGCATGGCCAGGGGGTTGCTGTTGCCTTGCTGTTTTACTTTTTGAAAGATAAAAGGGTGTTGCAAGTAGCCCTCAACTGGGTTTCAACTGGGTTTCAAATTTCCGCTCACGTGTATGTGTTATCATTCTCAATGGTGGTGACTCTCAGGGGAGTCTCTGTCTTACCGTGGGCTTCCCTGGAGCGCCACTGGCTGGTTAGCACAAGACTTAGTTGGAATCGCTGGATGCATCCATGTTCTCACTGTATTTGATACGTATTGATATTGACAATGATATATTCACATGCATAATATATTTGTTCTTTTTTTACGATGCCTTGCTGTTTCATCATCAAAAAAACAGTGTCAGAAACAACAAGTGTACTACACAATTCCCATTTATATCCATGTCTAATATGTCGTGTTTAAAAGGGTCATCTATAATAATATCCCATGTATATACATATATATATATATATAGATATACATATGAACAAAATACATATATATATTATCCATTAACAGATTAACATCATTTAACATCAATATCTCCAAAAGAAATGACCTTTATCAAGCCATATCCTGGCGCCTCAGCTCGAATGACTCTGGACCTGGCGCTCAGTCAGCTTGGCGATGGCCGGATGCGCCATCTCCCGACCCAGGCGGCAGAAGTTGGCCCACACCTTTGGTGGAGGACTTTGGGACGGTAGCAGCTAGCAAAAAAACTGCTGAAAACTTGGAGTTTGGAGGATATAGGATTTTGTAGATTTTGAACCGCCAAATCTACTGATGGATCGTTTTCGGTTGATGTTTAGTAGTTTCATAGATTTTGAGTGTTTGGAGAATGTTGATTCTGATTTTGTTGTGGGGATTGGGGATTAAAACTTGTAAGGGTCCTTTGATTTATTTTTTGACTTGTCGTTATCTTTATGATTGAGAGGTGACGATTTGGAATCACAAGCGCAGGCGTTTTTAATCGTGACTATTATAAATAGTGGCTGATTGGTAATGACCAAGGTTTTTTTTGGGTGATGCACATTTAACCACCAATATATTGGGATGGAGGGTGTCTGGTACAGTCCCTGAGTACCAGATTACCAAATGTCTTGGGTAAAATCACTACATCAATGAACTGGAGAGTGACTTGTCATTGGGTCAGCAATAGGTAGCCAGGCAGCCAAGGAAACTGCCATTGAACCCACATCCCTTCAGATCTGCTAGGGAACCGTTGGAGTGAAGAACTGGTTCACGGTGTGCGTGTGTGGAAAGTTTCCACACATATTGCAATCATGTCCTTAGCATAGCAAGTGCAGCCGGACCTGTGACTTGTAGCCACACTTGACTTGGCAAATAGCTCAAGACATACCTGTAGGATCCTGTAGACGCAAATAATATGTCTGAGTCCAGCATACCGAAAGTATGCTATGCGCCAGAACCTTTGGAAAGCAATGCTCTTTTCCAAGATTCCATCGTGGCACGATTCGCAGCAAATACCTGCCGCCAGGAGAAACTGCCATCGACACCTCACTCATCGTGTTTATGTCTCTGACATCGTTTTTGATCAAACACATCACGTTCCTGTTGGGTTTTGTCTGAACATAAGATACCCCAAAATCTACCGGTTTGTCATAATTTGTCCCATGAACATGTCCATCATAAACCATAACTTGAGGGCCCATCCTCCATTGTTGTACAGACCCTCACCATCAGTCCCTTCTCGCTCCGCCTCGCCTCCCAGCTGCGCTCGCGGCTTCAAATGACGCGAGTTGGATGAACTCGAGGATTGAGATGACATCATGTAATCCTGCCAGGTGAACTTGTGGAATGGCTGGGAACTATGCACCTGATGGTCCACATTGGTCCCAACCGCCCCTGGGATCTATCACAACCCTGTCCAACCAACCCGTTAGGATCGGGTGGGCCTCAGGCATTGTGTGCATCTCCATCTGTACCTAGCGAGGTTTGGCCAAGATGATTGATGATACCCAAAAATTTTCATGTTTCATGTGGAAAATGATGAATTTCTCTCATTTTGGAACAGCCCCAAAGATGGAAACGAACACATGTTTTCTTGATGGCTTGATCTGAGGGTTTCCGGAAAACCAGTAATGGACTGGTCTGACTCGTCGTCCCCGCAGTTTTCTATACAATTTAGGCCAATGGGGTTTGCTAAAAAGTGGGGTAATTATGGTAATTCTACCACCAAAATGGTAACTTCTTATGGGACACATGCTGATAATCCAGTGGAATGACAGGTTCTCAAATCTCTACCGCCAGAAGTTAATGGGGAATCTCAACTGGATGTCTCAGATATGCATCTCAAGACTTCCAAGTGGATAACTGGCTAACAAACCATATAAAAGTCTAACTGGGGACTGGGGATATGATGTTTTGGTGAAATATCCAAGCGTATTTTCTGCATAGTAGTTTTTTTATAAACTGTTTTCAAGCATATTTCAAAGAACAGCATGACTCGACCATGTGTTTATATTCTATAATGTGAACTAGCCAATAGTGATATCTTGGCAATAGTAGAAACCTTTTTTCCCAACTCCAGTTTTATCTCCAATACTAAAAATCAATTAGTTTAATTAAATTTTATTATTGCCAAACAACTCATGTTCTGACCTTGTCCAGAGGGCATGGCCAATAGTGGACCCAACATGGCAATAGTGTTTTTTTTCCCAACTCTAGGTTTATCTCCAATACTAAAAGTTAATTAGCCTGATTTATTTTTTTTATTGCCAAATAACTAATGTTCTGACCTTGTCCAGAGGGCATGGTATAGTATCCAAAGTAAAGCAACACCCTTTTCAAAGCAGCAAACACTTTTCATTGACAATAGCTTAGATTCCAGAAATCTGATCCAATTACCAAACAGTTGATTTCCTTATAAAACCCTTATGAAAAAAAAGAAAACAGGTCCACAAAGGGTATCCCCTTTGCAAACCCCAGAATAGCAATAATAAACCTGCACCAGGCATGGCAATAATGAATTCCAATTGTGCTTCCCCTGGTTTAGTTTTCAGATGTTTGGAGAAAGCAAAGTAAGCAAAACCCTTTTCAAAGCAGCAAACACGTTTCATTAACAAAAGCTTAGACTCCAGAAATCTGATCCAATTACCAAACAGCTTATTTCCTTATAAAACCCTTATTTAAAAAAAACAAAACAAAAAACAAGGAAACAGGTCCACAAAGGGTATCCCCTTTGCAAGCCCCAGAATAGCAATAATGAACCTTCCCTGTGCATGGCAATAATGAATTCCAATTGTGCTTCCCCTGGTTTAGTTTTCAGATGTTTGGAGAAAGCAAAGTAAAGCAACACCCTTTTCAAAGCAGCAAGCACTTTTCATTAACAAAAGCTTAGATTCCAGAAATCTGATCCAATTACCAAACAGCTGATTTCCTTATAAAACCCTTAAAAGAAAAAAACAAAAATTACTTTACTTCGAGTTATCCCCACCATGACATCTATACGTTTTGTTACTGGCATATCTTCTGGCATTCTATCTGGCATATCTCATGGCATTTTATCTGGCATATCTTCTGGCATTCTATCTGACATTCTATGTGCACACTGAGCTGGGAAGGTCCCAGGTTGAGGTCCAGCAGGTTGAGGTCCAGCGGTGCACACTGAGCTGAGCAGGTCCCAGATTGAGGTCCAGCAGGTTGAGGTCCAACGGTGCACACTGAGCTGGGCAGGTCCCAGGTGTAGATCCAGCGGTGCACACTGAGCTGGGAAGGTCTCAGGTTGAGGTCCAGCGGTGCACACTGAGCTGGGAAGGTCCCAGGTTGAGGTCCAGCGGTGCACACTGAGCTGGGAAGGTCCCAGGTTGAGGTCCAGCGGTGCACACTGAGCTGAGAAGTTGGCAAAGAGCTTGGCGAAGAGAGTTGGCAAAGAGCTTGGCGAAGAGTTGGCAAGGCGGAAGTGGAGGTGGAAGTTGATGCAGACATGGTCGAGGAGAAGCTAGAGTAACTAGAGGAGGAGGCGGAGGAGGAGGAGGAGGAGGCGAGGAAGAGGAGGACCAGGAGGAGGACAGCTAGCCGAGGAAGAGGAGAACAACTCTGATAAAAGCTAACAACCCTCACCTGGCAGGTGGGGAAAAACAAGAAAACAGGTCCACAAAGGGTATCCCCCTTGCAAGCCCCAGAATAGCAATAATAAACCTTCCCTGTGCATGGCAATAATGAATTCCAATTGTGCTTCCCCTGGTTTAGTTTTCAGATGTTTGGAGAAAGCAAAGTAAAGCAACACCCTTTTCAAAGCAGCAAGCACTTTTCATTGACAATAGCTTAGATTCCAGAAATCTGATCCAATTACCAAACAGTTGATTTCCTTATAAAAGCCTTATGAAAAAAAAAAAGAAAACAGGTCCACAAAGGGTATCCCCTTTGCAAACCCCAGAATAGCAATAATAAACCTGCACCAGGCATGGCAATAATGAATTCCAATTGTGCTTCCCCTGGTTTAGTTTTCAGATGTTTGGAGAAAGCAAAGTAAAGCAACACCCTTTTCAAAGCAGCAAGCAATTTACTATTGGAATGCTGATTCCCCCCTAAAAAAAATGTTTTTTTTTCAAAAAAATTAGGGGGGTTATTATTAGGCAGCCAACATTAATTGTCTAGCACTATGGAACCAGCTGATAAATATTAGTGTAATAACCAATACTTTTTATATCTACCCTCTGGTAAACTAACATAACTATGGAAAATCACCATTTTTAATGGAAAAATAACTATAAATGGCCATTTTCAATAGCTATTTTGACATAACCAGAGGGGAACCATCCATTTTTTCCACTGGAGGATTGTCCAGCCATGTTTGATTCCCACATCTCCGTGACCGAAGCATTGGGCACATCTCCGTGACTCGAAGGGCTCATTGGGCGCTGCAGCACTTCCTGAAGATGGGATGATCCCATAGATCATATATGATGATGTATTATTGTGTGGTACAAATGTCACAATATGTATGGACATATATATATATATATATATATATGTATATATATAGTATCTCATTAGTTATTTTACAATATGTCATATGTCCATATACACATGTTATTTATGACATGGATATATCCATTCCCTATGAATCCAGTACCTTCTCAGGAAGCTATGATTTGGGGGCTATCCAGTAGCTTCTTAAAAATTCATTGGATCCACAGGGACGGATCCTGGGACTTAAGATGTTGACTGCAGGGTTGGGCCTAGGCTTGCTGTAAATGGTTTAAACATTTTTTTGGGCTAAGACGATGTTTAAACCGAACATGTTTGAACCAATCCAGGGTAGTAGGGAACAACCCTAGTGAATTCGTTTAAACATGTTCGGTGCAACCCTGACGTTGCTCCACCCCGGAATGGCAGAAGGGTTGTGTATTTTTGAATGCCATGTCGGTGGACTTTCAATATGTAGATGTATATGTGATCCATGATCATGATCATGATCATGATCATGATCATCATCATCATCATCATCTTCATCTTCATCTTCATTTTCATCCCTTATGAAGATAAGTTGTTGCGATTTAGCATGTTTGCCACATGGGGGTGGATGTTTTTTTGATCCCTTATGAAGATATGTTGATGCTATTATCAGATTCAGCATATTTGTCAAAGGTGGTGGATTTGTTGATCCCTTATTAAGACAAGTTGATGTTATTCCTTGTTCAACATATCTGTAAGAGGGGGTGGTGGATTTGTTGATCCCTTATGAAGATAAGTGGGTGTGATTACCCAATTTAACATATTTATTATAGGGGGTGGTGGATTTTGGCCCTTATGGAGATGAGTTGATGTGATTACCCCATTCAAAGTATGATGATCATGATAATTATGACGAGACCATGGTGATGATGGTGATGATGGTGATGATGATGATGATGATGAGGAGGAGGAGGATGAGTAGGAGGAGGAGGAGTGTAAGTGTGGAGCAACGTCCGGGCTGGACGGAACATGTTGAAACACGTGTTTAAACATGTTTAAACATGGTTGAACAAATTCCAAGAGATTGAGGACCCAACCGCATGAGATTATGTGCACTTGCAGAATCAAGCGCTGAGAAATCTGCTGCTAGTGACATCACCCTGGTGATTCTTTCTCGCTCACCCGTTCTTGCTACTCAAATCACTCGTTATTACATTTGAGTCTTCCCGGCCGCCAACTTTCAAATGTGGAAATATGCTTAAATATGTTTAAACACATGTTTAAACATGTTTAGGCGTCAAAGAAAGTTCACAAGATCCGACCACTCCAATATCAGCGTTGCCATCTCCAGAATCCGATGAATATGGTTAAACAGTTTAAGCATATGGACCCGAGCTTTAAACGTGTTTAAACAGTTTGATGTTTAAACGGTTTAATGATGTTTTATGTTTACACCTGCTTGGAACGACCCTGCACTATAGTCCTGGAATTTATAGGAGAAGAGTTGGTAGAAGATCTAAACTGGAGTGTTGCAGTCAGTATAGGAGTATTCAGGTAGCACTGGCACGGAATGCCTTCCAATCAATCTAATGTGCTGTTCAAAGGGGAGACACACTCTCCGAAATAGATACGGGTGGAACCCTAGAGGTTCCACATCAGAGTAATTCATAGTAATTAGCTGCTAGTATTATATATATATATGGATACATATGGATGTTCATTCCCCCATGTTCTCCCATGTTCTGCCATTTTCGGACCATGGATATTAATGGCAAATCACAGGCCGCCACTAAACTGGGCGCACCTCTTTCTGTACCAACGGCTGCACCGGCACGGTTTCATCCAGAAGCCGCATGCGGACGTGAAAGATTTCACTCACTTGGTCCTTCACAACAGCTGCCATCCATTGATCAGGATTGTGGACGCAATTGGAGCTTTTCTGCTTGTTGTCGGCAAAAATGGTTATACAATATGAGACGGCTGCCACAACTCTCCTTGAAAATAACCACGACCCACGATTGTCAGACATGCTTCTTCATTCAATTCTCAATTGTGAATCGAGGGTAATGTCATGTAATGTCTCATTTGAACACATATTTGCCTAGTCATGAGGGATCAGAAGCAAACAAAAACTAAAAAAATCAAACACATCGTATCATTTGAAGGTGTTAAAATCCTCAAATCATTTACCAACTGCGAATGATCAACGCCACAGGACAGTCAGTGGGACATTTTTCTGGGAGATTTCTTTGCAGCCAAAACTCGTTGGAATATAATACGCCTTAACTCGCGAATCACATGTGAGCTCATGTGATCAGTGGCAGGGCCATGTTACCATGTTTTCGTTGTGTTGAGAGCCCTGGTCGAATCTCAACTGTTGATTCGACTGCCAAGCTTCCCAAGTGAAGAAATGCATCTTTACCTCAGTCAACTCAATCAACTCTCCAACGCCGAAAAATTGCAGCTCAGACCTAGAGCCAAGCTGCTTTCCTGAAATTCTTTGAACACATCTTCCAGATCGCGTCTTGGATCTTTGTGCAGATAAAAACTGCAAAGGCGCTCCTGAAAGGATCTGGCGTGTATTTGGCATGTCAAGCTGAAACACTGCGACTCCAGCCACGGAATCAAGTGGATGACATGATGTGGGTAAAGAAAACCCGCCTGCTTGTCACTTTTTACCACCAGCATCATCAAGCTCCAACGGCCCCAACACTTGCCATTAGCATTGCGGAACCAACAGCCTAAAAAACTTGTTTTTCACCATCGAACCCCGAGAAATTCCTGCGTTCCTCGCCTGACGTGCCAAAGCAATGGCAGCGCGAAGGTCTAGGAGTTCACCTATGGCTGCCCATCGCGGAGAAATCCAGTATTTTTCATGGTAACCTATGGATATTTTTTTACGTAGCGAACTGGAAAATCACGGTTGAAGAAATGGGTAGATCATCATAAATCATCTATATAATATACACTGAATATGGGATTTTCCACAGCTATCTTAAAAGACACAAGGGTAAATCCACCGCTTTGTTTCATGTTGTCTTGATGGAAAATCATGGAAAATCCACCATGGTTCATCCTATCCATCCGCATGTTCCGGAAGAAACAGCCATGGCCTGCAGTGGCCATGTGATCCATCAACCCTGTGATATCCTGGGCTACCGATATCATCCAATGGTTTTCAGGTACCTAAATTGGAAGTACCTGAAAAATCTGTCTGTATAAGGTCTCTACCATGCAGATCTATCTAATTTTCCCCCATCATCTTCTCCATCTCTACCTCGGCCATCCACCATCCACCATCAGTGCCACTTCAAGTGACAAGTCGGGTCGTCTCCAACATCAAAGGACAAAATCCAGCGACATTGCCGCCGCAAGAGTTGTACAATTCCTGCTGTGAAGGCGGACCCAGGTGTCGAAAATCTGCTGATTTTGAACGTCGACTAGTGGCCTATAGCAACCCCCCCAAAAAAAATAGAAGGGTAAGTTCCTGTAAAAAAAATGAACAAAAAACAAGTGTGGTAACCGGTAATAACCCAATGTGTCTATCTTCTCTGGTCGCTAGACATCATATTGCTGCGATGTGGGGAAGCCAAAAGTTGACATTCATCGCGCCACCTTTCATGGAGTCGCCATTCTTCGGATCATGCTGGGTCATACGAGTTGTATCATGTGAAAATTGCTTAGTCACTCCCTGAATTTTCCCATTTTCGATCATTTTCTATCATTTTCTTTAAAACAAATGAGATAAAATGAGTCATTTTGGAACATCATCGCATGTTTTTCAAACCACAGCTGCCACTGAATCCACTGATTCGCGTCCTAAATCTTCGACGGGGCCGCCATCCTATGGGCTACGGCTGGTGGTTTAGACCAAGCCACAAAATGGATCAAAATGGTGTATACCGTATCGAAATGGCCATAAAAAGTGGGAAAATATGGGAAAATGATGACTCTCCAATGGATTTAGAGATTTCAGAGGTATAGCATATTTTCAGACAAACACAATATGAGTCATTGGGAAAGAAAACCCTGGAAAATCATATGAGTCAGACTAACAGGGTTATCCTCATCTCATTCATAGGATGGAACATACATGATGAGTGATAATAAACGAACCAACCAACCAGAAAAGTTTGGTTCGAGAAGCTCAAGATCTTAAGTCGGCACCTGTCCATCCTCCATCCCACAGGTTCTCACTCGTGGGTTGACCCAGCGAACCCTCGCTACGCGGCCAAGACTCTGTAAGATAGAGATACATGGGAGGTTTCTCCATGCACTCGTGATACATCAAGAACCTCGTTTCGCTAAAGTCAGGTGGTTTGTCTTTCTAAAAATCCAATAATTCAGAACCTTGCTGAATGAGAGTCAGCTGTTTATTTCCCGATGATTCAGAACCCTCCGAAAATGGCCATAAACTAAAAGAAATTTTCAGAGTATAGGTTAATCCATGGTTAACCCCCACGGTTAATCCCCATGGTTAATCCATGGTGAATAATGGATATCCTCCCATTTTAATTCAACTTCCATAAATTGAGAATATCCTCAGCAATGTGTGTATCACCAGTCGGCCCGTCCCTGCCGGGTGACATGTGAACCTGACGAACCAAAGGCGAGTCCAGTAACCTGGGCGTAGGACTAAGATTTTACCATATTTGACCTATGATATATATAATATAAATCAACTAATAGCCTAAATTTCCAGAGGGTAGTATAACGTGTGTTTCTAATACATGATTATGGATGATTATGGTATGATTACGGTATGATTACGGTATGATTATGGTATGATTATGGATGATTATGGTATGATTACGGTATGATTACGGTATGATTATGGTATGATTATGGTATGATTATGGTATGATTATAAAGTATACATTCATGGTAGAAAACTCACTTATCATATACATGTAATATGTATTAAGCTGCAAAGAAGAATGTACGTTACACACACACACATACACACAGATCCTCCACGGGAAACTGTGTACAGACTACATGACATGCAACTGGTATATAGATGGGCATGTAAGAGAAATATCCCACATCATTTCGAACAAACAATTGATATATATATATATATGTATATATAGCGACCAATCCAGCTGGTTTCCCAAAATGATCCCAAAATATATTTGTTGGATAATATTTATATGATGTATTAATATAGATATATAGTGTATAGTATATATATATATATTGGTTGAAGCATGTTAAACCCCAATTGATGTGGAGAAACTTACGGTCAAACCGCGCTAAGCAGCCAGTTGAGCCACCGTACATGGCCGAAGAAGCTCAAGACGCCTTGGAAAAAAACAGGGCGAAGCGAAAAAATCCAGTTGCAGCCATGGACATCACCATGAGTCGTAGACTTGGGTGTACAAATCTAATGGGATATATATATATATATACATATATATATATACAGTTATATATATATATACATATATATATATATACATATATATATATACATATATATATATACAGTTATATAATATATATGAGCGGTTGCCGAAACCCCGTTACCTTGTGTTCTATTCTATCTTCCCTTTTGCCATCTCTTTCGCGAACCTTTCGCGATGCAGGGTTTTTCTTTCGCGGAAAACATGTGACACAAATTCCCCGTTTTCCGCAGTGAAGTGCGCATTGAAACCTTTAATTCCAAGCACAACGGGCATCGTTTTGCAGCAGTTATCACTGTGGCAACATGTGGATTGATATTGCATCTGGTGGCCTCCTCCTCCTTCACCTCCTCGTCCTCCACCCCACCCTCAAACGCGAGCTCCAGATCTCAGTGGGCACTGCCGGACCTCAACCGCGAGCGCCAGATTTCAGTTGGCACTGTGCGACCGCGGATCTCAGTGGGCACAGCCAGACACCACAAGCGCCAGATCTCAGTGGGCACTGCCACTCCCCTATCAAATGGGGGGGGGCCGTCCCAGCTAGTCAGGGCTTTCGCGGATCTTTCGCGGAGCTTTCGCGAAGCTTTCGCGGATTTCGGGTCACATCTATCGAAATTTGTGAATAATGTATCCGTATGGATCCAGATACATCTGAGGAAGCTGTCTACAAACATACTTAAAACCAGGATTTTGAGTCTTGAAAGTCTCTTTCGCGAGCTTTCGCGGAAGGAAATCTTCGCAAAAGCTTTCGCGGATCTTTCGCGAACGTGGTTTTAGCTTTCGCGGAGCCATCTTACTTTACACGCCCTTTAAATCTCCACTTGGAGGTTTTGGCGGCTGCTCATATATACTATAGTAATCACTAATATATCATCAAATCTCACGTTATACATATACGCATATATACGTAAGTATCTAGAAAAAAATACATCTTAAAAACAATGAGAACATAGCACCTGACATCCCCGGCAATGGCTTGGATCCAAGGTGCCAACGAAAACAACAATAAGTATCATGGCCAGCATGGTGAAGAGGCGAAAGGGTTGGCACTCCTGGGCTGCAAGCTGCAAGCAGACTAAGCAGACGATCAAGTGCTTGTGAAAACAAGATGCACCATTGGTAACCATGTTGTTTGGGCTTGCCAAAATCCCATGTTTCCTTTCTGTGTTTTCCTTTCAAGGGTTGAGTTCACTTTCAACCTTGTCATTGTCAAGCCCTGAATCCGTCCCAGAAACCGCGTTTTTTTCACAGCCAGTCATTGCTGACAAGTTGCAATTTCCAGATCATGCAAACGCACCATGGGTCTGGATTGGTCATTGGCCAATAAGCAAAAGAGGTAGATGAAGGCAAAGAGAATCATCTCGGGCAACCTGTGCCCCAGGAGCCCCGGAGCCCCGCTGCTGCCGGGAAAGCGGTTGAACTCCAAGCTGCTAGCTGCGCTGCTAGCTTGATTGGCATTCCTGAAGATGGTTGTAAAATGTAGGTGTCTTACATACTATGTATATATATATATGTATATTGAATATGTATATGCCTATATATATATATACTATGTGTGTGTGTGACCATGGCATGATATAAGTAATTTTAATATCACATCACATCATGTCATATCATATATAATGCTGTGTCATGTGGTGCCATGTTATGTAATGTTGTGTAACGTCGTGCATCGGCGTGTAACGTCGTGTCCTTTCATGTCACATGACATCACATCACCGATCGAAGCAAATACATTCAAGCAATGTTGTGGTTTCTTGAAATGGAATACTCCCAAAAAAACAAAATCATTGGTACTATTTGTGTTTATTATGGGGAATCCAATGGTTTTGGGTTACCCAATCGTTTAGGAACAGCCAATAGTATACAGTATAGCTCATATATATATAATATATATATATATATTATAACTAGGGATCTTCCACATATATAAAACTGAATCTTATTACCTCTTCGTCAAACCAAGGACATTCCAGGATCTCCCAACTGCTCCACTGAACACCCGGCCTGTCAAACATGCTCGCCTTGTGTGGCTCCTTCAACAACTGCGGCCACCTCAAGAACTGGATGATTTGGGGGTACCGCCGTCACTTAGGAAACCTCCAAATATGTTCATACGTTCATCTTTGTTCAAGAAGTTGGAATCCTCAACTGTAGGTCTTATCGGTACACTATTTTTTCTTATGAATTGTCCTGCGTCTGAGATAATTGGGCACAAAGATTCAGGAGTATTTGAGTCGGACGGGCCCCAAAATCACCCACTTGTGACATAGAAAGCAATGGGACGTTCAAATCAGCGATAGATGACATTGATCCATGGATGATGTCAAAGTCCGAAAATCCGAGGCAGTCCGAAAAATCCCTTCCAGCAAGGGAAACCCATTGGGTTCAGTGAAGTTCAGTATGCTTTGGTCCCATTTATAGATGATTTTCCCATGAACGCCTCCATTTCGACGTTTTGTCACAGAAAAAAAAATCCCGGGGCGACACTTCTCGCCTCCGCGTGGCCCATTTCTGGCCACGATCAAAGCGCAGCCAATCACCCTGAGTCAGGTTCAACATGGCCATCCTTAGGCCGTGGCGTCTGGGTTTTCCAAGGGAAACCATGGGATTTTCCGAAAGCCATGGCTGCCATGGCTTTTCTACATCGATGTATGGGACATAGAAAGGCTGAAACATTGTGTGTTTAAAGGGAAGATCTACTCCCAATGTTTTTCGGCTTCAACTTGAGAGGGATTTCTGACAATACACCACGCTACAGTGGATTGTGGGGCATAGTACCCCTACATCAGAGAATCCCAGTCCGCTTTGGTCAACGCGTGGGTCAAAATTGTGGACCTTCAACATGGCGGTTGGAAATGGATTCTGTTGAAGTTGGATCAAAAACCTATTCTTGGACCAAAAAGACCTTTGTGTCGGGGAACCCAGCCATTTGCCGTTCCCAGTAGATTCAGAGGTGAGACATTCCACAAGAAAACCATGATGAACAATAGGAAATCCGACATAATCCGACAGGAAAAACTGTGCATTGGACGAGAGTCAAAATCCGTGTGTGCCACTTGTTGATCTGGGTCAACCTTGGTGTCACATTCTCTGCTACGGGCGCTCCTGAATTACCACCTCATTCTGCGGCAAACCCCCAGCTACAACTGAAATCACTGATGTGTTCTGAGTTCACATGAAACATAAGCTACTGCAGTAGCCTATTGACATGGTTCCCCCTTTGGGATTCCGAACGTCGCATCATGGTTTGTCATCCCAAGTTTTCTTGCTTGGAAGGAGTGACTGTGACCAAAACTGATGTGTGCATACCTAAAAATCCGAAAAACGCTGAGGGGCAAGCGGTCAAACCTCATCTTTCTTTGGTGAACCACCAGATTTTCACATATATCTGTTCTGGCAAAACCCTCAAGTTTGCTGAACAGCGTGAGTCACTCAAAAGATTTGACCCGCCATTGCAAAACCGCAGCAAAAACCACCATGGCCAAGGGACACAAAGCCATCCTGGGAACTGGGAACTTCTGGCAGCGCTGGTGTCTACCCGGCCTACCATATCCTACATTATCCTACCATGAGGCTTTAGGATCATCATCACTGTCAAATTAGCTTCATTCAGCCATGCCCCTGTAGAAATGCCAAAGGGCAGTCCATATTCATGTAATTTCACTCAGCTGAAGAATGCTACCATCCTGAAGCAGCTCAAAACTGATTGGGGGAAGTACATCAAGCTCGGCTCAAGTCTGGGTTTTACTTCCACATCTATCTTAGGTCTATCTTTGTACTTCGCAATTTATCCAATGTTACGTGGAATTCCCTCGCATTTTGCGCATCGAACATGGTCAAACCAGGCATCAATGGCGGCGCAGCTCAGGGTCATGCAGCGTGCCAGGGACATCCAGTTGGGCGCGGGAAGGAAATCGGTCCTGCGCCAGGGGGGCTCTGCGGAGGCCCAGAGGGCAATACAAAAAGCATCAAAAAGCTATGGAAATTCACCACTTTCAACGGATTGGTTTAAGATTTTAAGGGAACAATTACAGGAAAGCGCCATATTTAATGGGAAAATCTAGGGTTTCCTGTAGATTTTCCCTTAAACCAAATCATTGACACCAAGAATGGGTAAATCAACTTTTAAATGCCCATGTTCAAAAGCGAACTGTTAAATGATCCGAGAGAGTAGTGGTTTCAACTGGTTCATGTTCAACTGATTGGTGCTTCTAAGTCCAGTTTTGACATGTCTGAAACCTAGCAGTCAAAGCATTGGTCCCGGCTTTGCAGCTTCCGCATGTCCAAGTGTCTATCAAAAAACATATCCAAGTTTCACGCTGAAATCCGTTCAGTGTTTGGAAAGTTGTCTTTGATATATTTACTGGATAATTTACACTGACAGAAAACATTGGAAGATACTCCAGTTGATACAATCTCATACGGTATCTATAATGGGATCTTAATTGAATATCTGTTGGAATATTGATGGAATATTCATTCTACCCTCTGGTAAACAAATATAGCTATTGAAAATGGCCCAGTCGAAATAGTTGATTTACCCATGAAAAAAATGGATTGTTTCCATAGTTATGTAAACGTTTACCAGGCCGGGTAAGTCTACATTGAAACTGATAAACATTGATAAACCAATGGTATCAGGATGATCCTCTCATTTCACCCAGTGGTCGATGGCTCCTCTGGCACCCCATGGCATATTGGCTCAAGGACTTAGAATCCGACACGAATCTGGAGGTATGGAGGTATCCAGTAAATTGTCTGTGGAAAATAGCGCTTCCAAAATGTTACAAAAGATACAAAAAGGCGAATCAACAAAAAAAGTTCTGCTATCCAGCCACAAATTCTAAAACATCCGAATTGCGACTTTTAGCAAGATGACAAACCCAAAGACTCCTCCATCTTATGTCGCTGGTCTGTAGTCTGCAGAATATTCTACCAAAGAAACACACAACAAAGCCTCAAAAGCATCCACAGAAGCACTTTAGGTGGCACAAAAGGGTATGTGAAACCTCTTTCCCATGCTGAAGCTATTGGCATCTATTGGCTGTACCATTGCTCCAGGATCTCCAGGTTCATCACATGATTTGCACAAAAAAAATCTGTTCTCTGGTTTGGTGTAAGGGAAAATTGACAGGAAACCCGTGCATTTCACAAAAAAATCATGGTCTTCCTGTTGAGTTTCCCCTAAACCAATCCATGCCACCCCCCGAGGCTGCAGAATGGACATGTTCTCAGGCTCCAACGAACAAGGAATGCGCTTCCGTACTCTCCGGACGCTGAAATTCGTTGAGCGTTGCTCCTGTGGCGGGTCAAGCTGGTCCAACCCATGACATCTGGCTCTGAATTGATGAATTTTGGATGATGATTATCCGTTGAACATTGATATGGCAGTGTGTCAAAACCAATAGTACCCCTGGTGAACATCAAAATAGCTGGTAAATGGATGTTCATCCCCCTAAAAATGGTATTAATAGGTATTGATCCATACCCATATAAGTATGATCCATTGATGTTAGTTCTGATGATCATGTTATTGGAACACAATTACAGTCTTTACCCCAAAATTGCGCGGTGTATCCTGTAGGCTTTCCCTCAAACCCATTCTGGGGAAAGGCAAAAATCAATGGGCAACCTATCAGCCCCGCCCATCGAGGGGATCCTGTCTAAGAACAACAAGCATCCAATTGAACATCCCAGAAATGAGACATTTACCAAATTTTGTAGTGGGAAGTGAAATCCCAGGTTGATTTGGGAATCAGAGTCTCAACATATCTTAGTTTTTTCTGATCCAATTTGGAATTTAATTCATTCAACAACCATCAAACAACTTCACTTTTGAAAGCAAACTGGACCAATTTGGACCAACTATCAACTACAAAACCATTTTCAAGCATCTTAGACAATTAATCTACCACATCTTCCGGGTGTCCCAGGCTTTCTCCAAGGCACCAAAGAGTAAAATGGGCACGGCCGGACAGAGGGCCACATCTGCCATGGACATGTCGACTCCACCCCGGTAGAAGGCACGTTGCAGCGACCTGGTCGTTTCAATGCGATGGGAAAATATGGAGCTCTGTGGCTATAGGAAATCCCCTAGAAATCTCAAGGGGATGATCGGAGGTTTCCGAGGTGTCATACTTAGGAGCCCCCTTGCATCATCCAAGTCATGGATGACCATCTTACTTAGCATTGAACCAAGCATGGTGACTGTGATCCCCCATGACTTTAGAAACCTCCAAATGGCATGTTGATGTGGAAAAAAACATCAAGGGTTACACCCTGGGGTGACAATATTTTCCATTTCTCTGAGACATACTATGCTGGAGTCAGCAAATTGGGAAAATCAACTACTGACTCAACATTACGTAACTTCGCCGTCAGGATTAGTTTGCCAGAAATGGGGAAATATATTGCCATCAAACAATGGAAGACACCTGAGAAAATGATGACAGTACCTTGATAATGCCTCCTTCCTAACGTGAAATACACCCCAAACAAAGCCGTGGTTTAGCAGTATGTCTATTCATTTTAGGATCCCTTATCGACTTTTCTTGATATATGACGTATGGACCTATAAACGCAGAATGGCTGTCAAAACGATGGGGGGTTACTCCTCCCAATAACCAACCAATCAACCAACCCTTCGGAATTCAAGGGACACCATCTCAACATTTTAAACATGGCAAATCTATCCGAAAATATCCGCAAAAATGTTAATATGGTCCCTTTCTTTTTTCACAGTTCAGTCGGCTACAGTAATTCCTTCGGATCTGGCCAGATCTCAGGTTAGATCACCTGGTCCCAAGGCACCCTCTGAAGTAGTAATGAACGAAGCGGTGAAGCAGATTGAAGGCTGGCAGGCACGCCTCAGCTGGATCTGAAAGCCTCAAAACTAAGACGGGAAGAATGGCAAATGCGCCGTGGCGCCGTTGGAATTTCCATTTTTTGTTTTTGGTTGAAGGTGTCATGTATTTGTTTTGGTTTTATAATGCTTTATACATCGTTTTTCTAAATGTTTGTCTTCGGGTAGCATGGAGGAACATATAACACCGATGAATATGAAATCAATTCACTTGGTGATTTCAACTAATTAATCACCATCCCTAATCGCAGGGATGGAAGAACAAAAAATGCCAAACCACCTTTAGATAAACCAAAACTATCCAATCATGTGGATTTGTCATGTTTCAAACAAGTGGACCCCCGAGTCCAAGTGGTCATGAAATCTTTATTTTCCCAATTTCATGGCCGAATTTCGGGTGTTAACATCCATTTCCAGCCAACCTTTTTCAAATACCCATTGAAACCCGGGTGCAGAATGTCTTGGATCGATTCAGATGATTCAGTCCGGCCTTGTAAAAAAAAAGCATACCCTCTGGTCGTCGAACGTGGCTGGCTTGAAAATCCCTTATTATAGATGATTTTTTCAGCTAGAAACCTCTATTTTGTTCGGGGATTTGCCAGCTACCCACGCTTGATTAGCAGAGGGTGCACCATACATATCCACATAAAGCCACAAAGAACCGCCATTTCTTAAATGGTTGGTCACAATCTGCACAGGTCAGCAGCCCAGGGCAAATGAATGCAAATGATTAGGCTAAGAAAAAACGGAAGACTCCCACAGCATTTAAGTTGATCATTTGTTGATTTGTTGGCTCTTTGTTGGTTCAATCCCTATTTTTCTTGGCAACGGAGCACCCCGCCACCGGTCATGTGGCAATGGCCAGGGCCAAAGAGGTACTGGTGAAGAAGTACCAGGCCTCGAGGATTTCGCGCCCGCGGCGTCTTTTGTCGGGGGCATCCATCCGGAGTATGGATCAGGACCGTGCATTTTGAGCTGCAGCCATATCAACGTAGCTTTCTATAGCTTTCTGGGATAAGAAATTTGATCCATATTTGATCCATTCTTAGCCAATTTCGATCCTTTATCAAATCCAAGTTGGGGTCAAAAGATGTTTCGCCGCCGTCAGTTTATCCTACCGTTGGTTTGACAGTGCAGCAAGCAGTGCTGAACCCATCCCCTTTGACTCCAATCCAATCGCAGGGGGGGGCCCTGAGACGATTGATGTAGCTTGGCATTACATATACAGTACCCACCACCATAAAGAAAAAAAATAAGCTTCACGTATGAAGCTACCCTTCACCAGCCTGGTTTACCAACTTATATATATATATTATATACACACATATTATCTTATATCCCGTTGGAGTTTTTTCTTGTGGGTTACTTTCCCATGATTGTTGATGATTGGTGGTTCGTATCCCAAAACGGAGGCCTGGTCTGTGTATTTCCCAACCAGCTCCGCATCAAAGAACGGCGTCAGAAGGGCCTTTCCATGTGGACATGATGGACACGTCTCGATTGTTGAAGAAAGCGCCCGGAGGTAATGTGGTAAGCGCAATGTCATAAACCATCCCCAATGGTAGTTTTGTTATTGGGTGTCCCACATTACACCTGTTTGGACCTACAAAAATTGATTGCGTTTAATCTTTGAAGAAATTTGAAGAATCATGAAGAAACCATGGGAAGTATGTACTGCCAAAGCGAATGAAGGTAAAGGTGCGGAAAAGAAACTTTTTCCGTAAGGTCCATGAATATTCACAAACCAACCCCACCGAGGAATTGTTGCTTATGTAAAAAAATGGATATGGTGCATCTAAAATTGTCTTAAGTTGAAAACCCACCTAGGTGTTCGTAGTCGTCCTTTAAATCAGTCCGCCGATGAATGGAAATGACCGGTCATTTGAAGCACAACTTCGACCCAAGCCCGCCTGTTTCGTGACAGGCCCAAAGACGCGCCACTGCAACAGAAAGGACGCTGGCCAAATAAACCACAAAGGCAGCAGGATGAAAAGGAACACCTCAGCAGGGGCGCCTCCAGTGCCAAAGCTCACTGAATCTCACTGATTTCTTCACGAAAATTGTCTGAGACAAGGACAAGAACTAGAAGATTCTTTTCAAACGCCAAAGGTAATCAGCAATCAAACATGTTTGTATAGGGATTGTGGGAAAGGACTGGAAGGCTGTTTCTATAATGTCTGCAGGCTGAGCTTACATAGATCGCAAAAAGAGGTTCTTTTCCAGCAGGACATGTGTTTGCTCCCCAAACTTCTGGCAATAAAAAATAAATAAACATGGGCTATTGCCCCACCATTCAACAGGTCTGCCATAGTTTTACCCTCCGAAGACGTCTGGGAACTACGCTAAGATCAACTGAACGGAGCTCCGCTGTGAATGGAAGCAGATTGGAAACACCTAAGTAGTTGGCAATGAACTATTAACTGTCTGCACGAATTGTCCTCAAGCTTGTCAAGATGGTGTTTGAATTAGCTCTGACTCTGACCTATTTCACTGGGCATTTCAAGTGCCACTAGCCAGGGGCTCTTGCAGGGCTTGTGTCATAAGATGGCATCCTCGGCCAATACCGGCCCCAAGGGTACGAGCGCCAAAGCCCGTAGCCCGTAGCCCGCAAACAACAAGGATCCCTTGTGAGGGCAGTGAATCGAAGCCAGTGGTGGAATTGTCAAATGTAGAAAAGAACATACGAATGTACACAATCACAATATAATATATTATATAATATATTATATAATATATTATATAATATAATATATATATATAATATACTGTAATATATATATAATATAATATATATATATATACTGTAATATGTATATATATATAATTAATATATATATATATTATATCATAATGTCATATAATGTCTATTTCACAACTTTCCACCCAAAACAAAAAGTCCTCCACTCCTTTTTGACTAGCAACATCTGGCAAGATCTAGCACTATCTGAAGAAGTGTAGCTATACGCTATATACTAATATGATCTAATATGTATACATATAGACTTCACATGACTTCACACCAGCTTCTCAACTGCCCCTCCGAGCCCTCCACCCACTTTGTCTTTTCGTCCAGGGGCTCGCCAAAGCCCACTCCATCCCAAGAACTTGAAGCTGGCAGAAACCAGTGCCAGAGCCACAGTGAGGAAGAAGAAAATCACGATGAAATTGGGCAACCCATGGGTATGTTCCTGCAGCTGGCTGAATGTGGCTGTGGAATTTTGGGAATTTTGTTGAGTCGGCGTGGATTCCATGATCGCGCTGGTTTGTCCGGAGTCGGACTTACTCACCACTTGCTTACACGATCCAAAGGTGTGGAAGTTTTGTTTCACAGCGGTATCGGATGGTATGGTAGGTAGCAACAGGACCTAGTTCAACTCACAGATGCAAGCGCAGGCCTGGTCCAGAATGCCGATCTCATCTGAGCAAATGTGCAAGCGTAATGTGGGAACCCATGATAATAACGTCCCCACTTTTAGCCAGAAATAGGCGGTGAATAGCCAGAAATAGCTATTGAAGGTTTCTCATTGGGTGTAGCACATTACATGGTGCGTGGTTTCAAAAGGGAAAACCCTGATGATCCCTGATGTCTTCGAACGTCAAATGAGCTTCGTGTCCGAAAACATTCATCGACATGTCTAGGCCTTACACAGTATCCGGAAGACAAAAAGGATGCTGGTGAGGGCGACATGAAGATACATTGGAAATGAAGGCAAACTCACCCAACCCCCCTCACATTAACGAAGTTTATCAACATGCTTACAGTTAGAGCACCACAGCAACTGCGAAACTCTAGCTCATCCACCTGGATCCACCTGGCCACAGCAGCTCCCAGCCTAGATCAATCATTTTCTCTGCTTTCGTCAGATTCAGCAACACATCCTTGGTGGATGACCGAAGCTTTTGGCCCCGCCACTTCACAAGTTTCGAGGAGTAGTTGGAACTCCTGATTCAACAGACTTCATTTTAGTTTTAGATGATTTCAGATGTCTTGTCATGAAAACAATGTTGCTGATGTTGTGCCCTCCATTTCTGTGATTTAGCAATCCCTCGTCCAAGACGGGCATCTGGCACAGACCCCGCTAAGTCCGAACAAAGCCGACCTGGTAGGGCAAGGTAATATGAATGGAATATGACGAATATGAATATATATATATATATTAATTATATATATATAATATTACATTTATAATATGTATGTGAAAATGTATGTATATATATATATATAATCATATATATAAATATATATTATGAATGGGATACTC